TTCTGTCAACTGTGTATAAAAAAAAAAAGAAACCATGGGTGACCTATGCTTCACTGATAAAATTGGGATGTTTTTATGGCTCTCAGTTCCTTAGTGAGGAAGAATTTGTCATACAACTCCCAGGCTTTAACCAAAATCCTCAGACGATAATATGGAGAAAATGTGTTTACAGTGGGCTGCCAAGAGCCTGCACTAGAACCTGCTGGGGCCCATCCATTTGTATTAGAACGCCCTGTGGAATTTTGTCCACGGGAAAACTCTGTGACCAGGGACATCCATCTGCACGGTGCTAATGAGGCAGCGCTGGGTTTGTGACCGGTGGTCACAGTGAGAGGCTCACAGGATGCAGAAACACTTCAGGATTAAAGTCCTGCTCAGGTGCAACACAGAGGAGTGTTTGTGTTTTTTTACTGCTTCACACTCAAATGTCTGTCCTGAAATGTCTTGCACTTTAACACCATTGCATTTTTCCATATAATATGTGAATATACACTTATTAAAAATAAACAGTCTGGGTCATCAAGTACAGCGTTTGCTACTACAGATAAAAAAAGTAAAAAAGTTAGGTTGTCTGTAAATGGCCATCACTGCTACAGAGATCACTTCAAAACATTGCAGTTTTTGGTTTAACATCATAAAACTGATAACGAGAGAAATATTTAGGAATCTTAAAAACTAAAATGAAACTGTCAAAATAGGAACTTAAACATCTGTATGTACGGTAGGAGTGAGTTGAGACTTTTCATTTTAATTAGAATATGGGCAAAGCCTTTTGCTTAAAAGCTAATGGTTAAGCAAAAATATATTATTAGCTAAATATTAGCCAAAGAAAATGTAAAGAAAAGCTAAAATAAATGAGATGACTGAAAGTTTGAGAAACAAAAATCCAAAACAACAATTTAGCAGAAAACTAAAATAGCTCAAATAAAAGAATAGTAATTATACACACACCATATACAGTATAATAAACTATAGAGAAAACAGAAAAATATAAATGACATCTGAAGTGTTTTTGAAGTTAGCCCAAAAATAAATAAATAAATAAAAATTAATTTTTCAGAAAGCATTGAGAAACAGTGAAAATTAGTCAAATGAAAATATTAAGCATTGTGTCATGTTTTGTGAACGAGGGGAACAGGCAGGACCCAAGTGTAGCACTGAAGAGACAATAAGGAGCAAATAGAACCAAAAACTCAGTGGGCAGCAGGACCAGGCAGGAACAAGGAACACAGAACCAGAACCAGAACCAGGACCAGGATGGAGAGAGGTATATATACCCAGGGCACCAGGTGACAGGAGTGAGGTGAGGGTGATGACACTGATTATCTTCACACAGCAGACACAGCAGGATGGAGAGTTCAAAGTTAGCCAGAAAGACCAAAAAGGAAATAGTTAGAATAACCTGGTCCAGACAGGAGTAGACATATGCTTTAACACTGCTGAAGGATATTTAAATATTGGACAAATTTGCCCTGAAAAAAAAATGCACGTTCTAAACGTCTGGTGCTCAATGAAACTCATTCTGAATAAGAAGACATCTGTTCCAACCCTTCAGTAAGAACCAGGTGTGGACACCGCAGGCGCCTGACAGGAAACAGAGAAAGTGTTCACATGTGTAAATAAGATGCAGAAATGCAAATGAACGGCGTCGAGATGCTCGGCACATACAGACGCTGCGCCTGCAGAGCTGCAGCACAGCGTCCATCAGTCGGACGGACCAGTGTAGCAGGAGTTCTGACCACGCAGTAAACAAACAACCCAGGCTGACCGCTGTAACTCAGAGAGGGAGAGAGCAGCATTAGCCAGTGCTGCAAATGAGCTATTACACCAATGACCTTGAGGACAAACTCATTACCCAGTGACAATAGACAGCAGACAGAAGCTGGATTCATTATCATAATTATCAGCGGCGCTGCTTTATTGCAGCTCGCTGGGGTTGCTTGTTGAGGTGCATGCAAGTGTGTCCGTTTGTGCTGGTGTGTGTGTGTGTGTGTGGAACACAGAACAGTACCATCAGTTACAGACCATTAAAGCGATTAAAGAAAAAAAAAACCTTGGCCACTTAGCTGGCCTGGAGCATTCATCTACGATTCTCTGGTTTATATGGTTTGTTGCTGTAATAAGGAAATCTGTCCTTTCAGAGAAGATTCCCTCCTGGTCATCTTCCATATTTTGTATATATCATTACTGGCCACTTCATTAGGTGCACCTTTGAACTGTTTTTAATGCTTATCCAATAGGCCCACAGTATGGGTGTGACGTCATTAATAAAAGCTGAGGTTGAACCTGGTGCTGTTGTTAACATTGACTATTCTTCTCTCTTCCACATCCTGTGTATATACTGTGTATATACTGTATATTCTCACTCAGCTGTTCTTTTGTTAATGTCTCCAACTCACACGATATCAGTACAAATGTATGTATTCCTAAATTTGATCATAGTCTTACACTCCGTTTCAGGACAATAGAACCGTAATAAACGGCTGTGTGACCATGCATCAGATTCCAGATCCATTCCTAATCTTTCGGACGGATCATTAGAACGCCACATCTCGAGCGGTTCTCACAGGTGGGAGAATGGACGAGCACGTCGGCGCTCTGCAGCTGTTCCATTTGATTACAAATATCCATCACCTAATGCTCATCCATCCGTCTGTTTGCAGGAACTTTACAAACGTCCGACCATGAGGGTCAAGATTGGCATCACCAACAGGAGAGCAGGAAATATTCAACAGAAGTCTGGTGACTGGATCAGGAACTTCTGCCCATCACATGGACCAAATGATTTCCACCACCATTATGTTTAAAAGGAATTCTAAATATTAAAATGAATCTATTAAAGACCATAGCCAGGTCAGCTGTTGGTTTAAAAACTATTTTTTACACCTCACTTTTACACTTTTAAGTGATGTGTAAACTAAATTGTGTGTAAGCCAAACACACAGCTGACCATCTTCCTCGTTAGACACATCTAACATAAACTAAACCTTTAATAGTAATATTAGTCACATCTTTTCTGAGTATATATCCAGTATTATGTTAACAGCACAGCTAACAAAACATTGCATCTCACTCAAACTGTGGGGAGTAAAGTCAGCTTTAAAAAGAAAGATTTGGGATTTTGGTATTTCATCTACAGCAATAAAGCCTGGAGCCTCCAGCACCGAGAGATCTGTTTATAGACCAAAGAAAAAACATCTTCTGATGGTCAGGAGATTTCCTTTGATTCTCTTCTTTTCAGACTCTGTGTTGGCCGGATATCATGGGAATCAAAAATCCTTTTTGGCCACTTCAGTTCCTTTTCATTTCTGCCATGCTTTATCGCATCAAGCCATATTGTTCAGCTTAAAAAGATCTGAAGCAGCGGCAGCTAAATCTGGAAACCTGGAAGACACTACTGAATCCACTGTAGGAGACTGACTAAGGAATTAAAGAGCAAAAGAACAGGGTTGGAGAACAGGAAAATAAAAAAAGGAAACAAATAAATGAACAAAGAACAGATGGGTGAGAGGGAAAGAAACCATCATGTTATAAAAAGAAGGTATAGAAGAGAGAAACAAGTCTGGAATTAAAGAAAGAAAGAATGAAGAAGATGGACAGAAAGAGAGAAGGATTTACAGATAGAGGAAGCCAGAAGGAAAGGTGGATGAGGCGAGGGAAGGCTGTAAAGAGTGAGGGATGCTGAGGAGGAGACCGTCACAGGGAACCATTAATAATTTATGATGGCTTCAGCTTTTCAAAGCAGCTCCGCGGTCCCGCTCTATGCTTTCCCCTGACGTTTAATTTGTCTGAAAATCAGGGAGCGTGGAGTCTGATTATCGCCTCCGTCTGCCAATGCCTTCGCCTCAATCTCCCTGACACCCAGGTAGGATCACAAGCTGCTCTGCACGCACTCCAGCCTGGGATGGTTAACCCTCATCTGTAGGCTGCACCCTGCACACGAGACGTACAGGCTGAGGCGTCTCAGAAACCTGTCACAACTGCCTGAAATCCCAGGTCCAACCCACTTGATTTGTGCTAAAATATTCTATATTTAAGGCCATTATATTGACACAGAGTCATGGGAGATGTCACAGTGAAAGAGCCCTCGTCCCAGATCTGTCCGTGGGAGCTTGTGTTCATACAGGTACAGAGACAATCTGACTTTCCAGTGTCTCCTTAACATCATTTTTTTAACTATCATTATTGATGTCATCTTCACTACAGAGCAAAGACTGGAGACAGGAACGTGAACTGAACCAGGAAGATCTTGGATTGATGGACTAGTCACATGTTGTATAACAGTCTCTACACTGATATAAACAGCTATGAATTAATATGTTCTTGGACTTGACTCATTTGTAGAGGTGTGACCGGAGATGTTTTAGTAAGTTAACTTTAACAGTAAGTTAACTATTTTAATCACTCATGTTTTCTTTCCGTTTCTTATATCCAGGAGCCAATTGTGGCCTGTGGTCAAATTTCCTGTGACACGAGTTTCCAAGTACGAGTAAAATATAAGATCCTTATTCAGTTCCCCCAATTGGATTGAATTAGAAACCCGTTTGAATACTTAAGTGTTTATTGCCCGTAAGTCATTAATTAGAACAGTGGTTCTCAAACTGGGGTGCACATAACAATGGTGGTACGTGGGTTCCCTCTAGTGACGTGCAGGGGAATCTGATTCCCGTTAGGATAAGGTGAGTCACTTTTGTTAAATACAGCTGTTATATCTTCTGGTGTGTCTACCAGCTGTAGAGCTACGTTCATGGTAAAGTGTAGCTATGGCTCATAAACAGGACACAATTCTCTTCTGATACTGTGCTAAGCTGAACAGGGGAGGGTGGTGGAGAGACAAATATTTTCGAAGGTGGCAGCAGAGCCAGAAATTCAAGAACCACTGTTTTAGATGTTATTGAATGATCCATCCATCTATCCATCCATCCATCCATCTATCCATCCATCCATCCATTTTCATCCGCTTATCTGTTACCGGGTCACGGGGGTTATTGAATGATAAACAGTAATACTAGTTACTTTTTAATAAAATATTTCATTTTTCATTCATGCTGACTAGGAAAGCTATTAAAAAAACGAAGATTAGTGACAGGAGAATAAATACACCTTCATAAATAAATACACCAATAAAACTCGGTCACTTATTAAACAAGTACACCGGAAATAAAGTCCCACGCAGGAAGTGCTTCACTAATTTTAGAAACAAAATTAAAAAGGGGTGATAGGAAAATGAAACGCCTCACACGGTTAATATCTCGAGTTATCTTTCTTTGTGAAGGGTTAATTGTCTTCATGAGCGGACACTGAAAATGATTGACGACAACTGCAGGGACCGTTAAATAACGTCATGTTCTAATGAAATAGACCTGCGACTAGTTATTTTGAACATCAAAGTGCAATAAACGGTTTTACTGGTGCTATGAATCTGGAGGAAACACTGCAATTTCACAGACACGCACACAAAATAACAAAACAGGTCGAAAGGCTGGAGTTGATTTGAAAGGTACGTTCTAGGGTTGATGGTCATATATTGCCACCTAGTGGTATTTTGTGCCAAAATGAAATTTCACACTGGATGTTTTACTAGCCATTTAATTTGAACTAATTCTACACGTGCATATATAAACAAAAACCCAAAGCTAACACATACATTTTTGCTAATAGTATTACGTGTATGACGTCACAGAGTTTGTGCAGATTCTGAATTCCAACTGTGTCTTCCAAGACAGGAATAAACATGTTTCATTTATATACACAGAACTGTGAATGTTAAATACAAACCAGACAAGCAGGAAAGCCAAGCATTTAGGAAACCACACAGGTCACTGCAGGGTGAATTCTTCGAGAGGAACCGACACAGAGAGTAGTATTAACCAGGGAAGTCTTTTCAAAATACAATGACAGGAACACCGCAAAATAAAAAGCACAAAACGCCAAGAAAAGAAAAATAAACAAAGGCTAAAAAGATAAATGCAATGAATTAAGTTAATGCAAATAGGGGTATACATATATCAAATCTTTTTCCTTTACAAAAAAAATACAATTTCTAAAAATAAGAAAAAGTCTGGAGGTTTGGCATAAACAGTAGACTGGTCTTCAGATGAGAAATCCAACAATTTGGTCACATAATTCATAGTTTCTGTTACTACTACAACCTGTACTAATAGGTTTTTACATCACTGTGGAGGAAAAAACTGTTCTTTATTAAGCAGTTAGGTTTGATTTTTAATTTAAAAACCCTACACCATCAGCTGACATTTGATACCTACTTTTTTATATATATCCAAAAACAAAGCAGTTATTTTCAAATTTCCTTCTTCTGCATTCTTTTGATTCACAACAAGTTTGGGCAGAACACGACACATTAAATTACTGACAAAGATAAGCACACAGACACACAGACACAACCAGACAGAGAGACACACGCAATGCAGCAACAGCTACTGATGCACTCTTATATAATCTGATATAAAATAAATCAGACACATTCAACAGCTGTCCTGTGTAATTTCATTGACTGCAATGTAAAAGGAATGAGAAGAAAAGTGAGATTCACAACACCAAATGAATATAGTAGAAACATCTTGTAATGTCACACTGAGCGTTTCCTATGAGGCATTGACAGTGACCTTATGGAAGCTTCTGGAAACAGCTGTGGGATTATTACTGTGTGAGAAGGTGGCCATGAGTACTTTAGTGCCTGGAGACGTGGCCATGAGGGACACCTTCTTCTCAATCTTCTCATATTGATTTAGACTAGACATTCTGTGCAAAAGACAGAAAGTGGGAAAAAAAAGTCCATGATGTGAACGATTTCTTTTGCTAGGTCATAAAAAGGTTCCATAAAATATCATAAATCACAATAAAAAGACAGCAATATTGAACGAGGAATACAGTAAAAATTAATCAAAAACTATGATTCGATATTACTAATAATACAACACAACAGTGCACAAGTATGACAGTTAATTAGCCATAAGTAATTACACAACCAGCCAATGTCGACGCTACACACTCCCAAAAAACTCACTTTCTGTTTTTTTGTGACCAGAACACAAACACCAAAGCAGTTTTAGACCCTTTTTGTTTACCCTGATGATTTATCACACTTCAATATTTTTTACCTACCTCTGCTCTAGTTCTCTCTAAGGTAAGACTTATTTGTTTTATCTGAGCTAATAAAGTGCCCCTGGGTTTTGAGGAGATAAAATTAGAGCAGCAGATATAACCAAAGTAGAGGGAGTTCAAAACAAAACAAAAACTACAGCTCACAAAAAGTGTGCCACTAAATATCTTCCATATTAACTTATATTCTTGTTGTAGAGTTTAATCAAAAGTGTTATCCACCAATACATTTATAAAAATTAAAAAAAATAGTAAAACATTTAGCATTTAGCCATATATAGCGGCTAACTTTGCCTAAATCAATCCAATGCAGTTGCAGTAGAGACTGACATAAACCTGTAGAGATGTCTCTGTGAGTGACATTTTTTAAATAATTGAAACAAAGAACATCATCCATCATAAGGACCATACCTTTGGCTAACAACATCTGTTTGTCTGCCAACACATTGTAATAACCATCAGAATCAGACACACACCCTTTTTATCCTGACCCGTCAGACTGATCATCAATCAGATACGGCTGTCACTGCACGGAGACATCCGCTGACCGCATTCTTCACATTGCATTCCTCAGACACCAATGTCGCAATGTGTCTTCAACAGTAAACATGAATGTGTGGTGTCACGGTTTACCTGGCTTCACAGCTGCCCTTCAACAATCCAAATCCTTCCACTTTGAGAACAGCTCCAGTCAGAGTTGTATTGAACCTGTTGGTGAAAGTCAGTTTGGCTGAGTACTGTCTGTTCACTACAATGCTGTCTCCTCCCTCGATCTGTGGAAGAGCAGGTGAGAAGGTCAGATATAATAGAGAGATCATTACAGAGACAAGGGGAGTTTGGCTAAGGTGAGGTAAAAGAGAAGGGATGGTCACAGCCCTCAATGACAGTTCAGCATAACAACAGCCAAAACTTTTCTAAAAATTGTCACAAAAGCAGCTGGAAGTTTCTAAAAGCTTTTTAGGCCTAAGACTTTAGCCAGAAATGTGGTATGGATCTATAACTATGTGGGAAGTTATATTTAAAAAAGCTCAAAGTGAGACAAAAATATAACAAAATAACAAAACATTTGCCAATTGTTTTAATGATAATGTCCAAAACTTACACAGATATACGTATGAGAAAAAGGTTTTTAACTTTTAAGGGTAAAACTTAATCACAAATATAGCAACAATAATGAAGAACTTGCTGAAGAAGTTATGATTTGGTCTAAAAAAAACCAACAAAAAAACAACGCCTGAAGCCAGTATTTGTACCTCAACATCTATCTTGGGTGAGCTGAGGTTGAACTCCTGAATCTCCAGGACTCTTTCTTCAGTCACTGTGTCCTTCATCACCACTGCAAGATTCACAATGCCATCAGCAGCCACAGCCGACTCGTACTCAGACAGAGGGATGGTGTGACGCACTGCCAGCGCTGCAGAGGAGCAGGTAAAGACATGACAGCTGTTTTGAACAATAAAATCAGATCAAATGGACACACCAGTGTCCAGAGCATCTTACATTCCAGGGGCTGGAGGTATAGCTCCTTGTATGTTTTCCAAAAGCTCTCCTTTGGATTGCTGTTGTACTCTTTAACCTGAGCATTAACATGTTCCATCAGGGCCCTGGGTCTAGTGGTGGTGTTTTTGACCATTACACACAGTCGAATGCTGTCTCCCACTGTTGGCTTCCCTTCTATTTTGATGGACACCTCCAGATTAGATGCAGCTTCTACTGGAGATAAAGGCAGACAAAATACTCTTGGTTTAAACTTCTCAACTGACTGATAGAGAAAAAAAAAATAATAGTGAACCCCACCATCTCCTGCTTCCCCTCTTCCACTGCCTTCATTGTGCACCATAGCTCTTGATGCATAACACATTAAAGCTGTAAAGAAAAATGATGTTACCCACCATTAGTATGATTCAAAAAATAGCAAAAATTCTGATTTGAATATTTTCCCTGCAGATTTCTCAGTGCAGTTACACAGCCAATGAAAACCCAGCTCTTTTACAGGATGCTAAGTCTGAAAGCTCACCATCTCCTCCATTGGACCATGAAGATCGCATCAGCCTGGCGCTGGGTTCTAAAAAAAAAAGAAAACTTCCTGTTACTTCCTGTGTGTATTTTAAAAGTAGAACTTAACTGAAGTCATATTTGTGAAAGAGACAGAACAACAGGCTGCAGGATAATCATGAAACATTAGAACATGTTTATTATAATAATACTAAATATTTAATACTTAAGCACCTCCTCTTCCATTATATTCACACCTCATAGATCTCATCTGGCCATATTCTGTAAAGATAAGATTTTGTTTTGTTAAAGTTACCGCATAAAATAGTTAGACATTAAGACTTTTTTATGTTTCATGATGAAGGTATGTACAGTATCTCCCACTGACGGTCACAGGCATAAATATCAGAATCTCTCACTCTCTCTTACTCTTCATCTTGTAACTGTTGGTTAGATTCTCAGGCTTGTCTGTGCCGATGCCTTTAGTGTAGATGAGGGCTCCTACACACTCACTGTCCACCTTCCTGCCCACCACTAGCCCATTACGCACAATCAAACGGATGACATCAGCATCAACAGAGGCATAGATGAAGGGGGCGTCATACGGGGCTTTGAGGCAGCGCTGCTGAATGGCAGCTACAGGGCAGGGGCCGCAGACGTAAATACCTGGAGGGAGAAATGATGACTTCTTGTTTTTGCATCAGAGTTTTAGACATTTACAGAAGAATAAATTAGTTTTCATTAAACTGTTCAGTGCAGCCACCCACCAGCACTCTTCTCCTGGGGGGTGGGATCCACAACCTGCCATCCGTCAAACATTTCACCAAGATCTGGTCTTTTCATCCAGCTCTCCACCCACACATGGAAGTTCCTGCAGCACACATGGGAACAAATACACACAAAACACACACAAAAACACACACACATACAGAGAATATTAAAATGTTACAGATTATTATTACAGACACAAACCATTTCCTATTAAACTTACGCAGCTTTTTAAACAAACAACACAAGATGTTGATGAATCATCTGTTTTTAAATTAAAAAAAATAAAATTATCTGATCCGAACTACGTCATTTACTATATATAAAAAAAATAAAAATAAATACACAGGCCAAATGCAAACATTCCATATCTCAATAAGACTAAAATAAAAGGAGGTGAGGAGGAGGGGATGAGGAGGTGACCCAGACCAAATGCTGTCCTTTGACAGGTTCAACTTCTCCCCTGTGGTCGAGTAAACCTCTTCAATTTGTGTGTTAGCATTTCCGTCATGACCTGCGTTAAAGACCGTCACCACCCTGGAGGGAATCCCCAGAACTCTCATCACTGAAAAAACAAAACAAAAGAGTACCTCTTCAAACACATACTCTGATACCAACAACACAACAAAACACTCATGCTGAGTGCTGAGTACCTGTGCAGAGGACAGAGGCAAACACCCAGCACTGGCCGTATCGCACAGGCCTACAGTTGGACGAGACCCACTGGTGGAGGATGTCGGCACTGCCACTCCACTCTGTGGGTTTAACTCCACCATCAAAGGTGCCCGACCACTTCCCCTGTAGAATCCCTAAGTCATCATCACAGTTGACCTGTAGGAGCAGAAGGGTGAGACACAACAATGA